ATAAATTTGGGAAGCAACAATATCTAGGCTAATTTACTCTGTTTGCTGAGACAAAATACCAGATGCCAAAATTAAGGAAGTTAAAGTTTATCTAGCCTACAGTTTGTGGGATTTCAGTGCATACTCAGCTGGCCCCAAGGCAGAGTGGCACATAGCAGAGGGCAACAGTTCATGGCAGCAGAAAACAGCAAATCAACAAGACCAAAACGGAACAGCAGTGGCAAGCAGCCTCTTTCCCTCCCTTAAATTGTATGCAAACTACCCCTAGGGGAGGTAGCACTGACATCCATAATTCGAACACTGAACCATGAATCAGTCATACACTCTAGAAGCCTGCCCCATGACTGCATGAAGCTCTGGGGGGACACTCAGACACAAACCAAAACATTCCACAATGACAAAAGATGGTAAAGAAAATTTTAACATGATAAATAACCAGCTAACAAATGGATATCAAGACAGTTTTACTTATTTTCTGCTTGAGTATTGTCCAAATTTTGTAAAAGTTATAGAAGACCTCCTGGTGAAACATAGTGATAATTCTAATTTAATGATGAATCCCAACAATGTAATGACTAGGTTCTGGCATTTGCTTTATCAGGAAATCACCAACCACATGAAGGTCTCTAGCTCATGGTAAACTCCAATATTTTGACACAACTTCCTATATGACCCTGTCTGCTTGAGATTACCCATTTCAATGCACAGTGACTTATTTAAAGAAATACCATGATCAACATTTTTCTTTTACCTCAGATATATTAGTTGCTAGTCGCCCAAAGCAGGGTCCTCTGTATCTGCACTTCTGCCAGAACTGCACTGGGACCAGAAGCCTAAATACATGACCACTACATGCAATCACTGTCAATATATTCCACAATTCAATTATGATCTTTTCAATAAGCTTGCCTCTCTGAAGTTTATATATTATTCATCTTAGGGCAGTCTGCCAAATCTCATACATTTTCATTGTCTTTAACTAAAAGTAAGCATCTCGAAGGCTAAAGAAATCGCAGTACCTTCCACTGCTTGAATTAGCAGGAGGTGTCCCAGTAAAAGTGCTACAAATTAGTGGACTTCATTTAAGGTTCTAATATTGAAAGGTAGATTGGTGAGATCAACAAGGCTCCAGGTTTTTCTTCCCGATTTGACTGTGTCTGGTACATCCTCCTCTTTTGCTTGTGATTTTTTCTGCCCCTCCCTGAGCACAAGCAGTGCTGTAATCTTCTCAAACTGGCACCACTCATTGGATCAAAGGCCACACTCTTGATTTCATTTTACTCTACCTCCTTATACTCTATACCTTCAAATGCAATCATATGTGCATAGTGTATGGAAGGTATTGGTTTCATTTCAAATAACACTGTGTAGAGAACCACCTGGGAGACTCCTCTTGGAGGAGTAGCAAATTCTCCACTTTGGCTGAGTGGGATCTATTTCCATGTACTGATGTGTGAGAGCTGGGCTCGGGCTTTTACTTGTCCCCTCAATCAGCTTTAAACAATGCAAATCAGCCCAGCTGAGAGGCAGATGTGTAGTCCTTGAAGCAAGGTCACAAGGCAGGATTCCCCCATACCCTTCGTGCCAAAATAAACATGTGTGAGCTGAGGAAGGGGAGAGAGCTGTGCTCCACGCTGTTGGATTGGATGGAACCTCTAGATAAGAGGGAATAAAATATTACACATCAGAGCTGAGGCACCGACCCTAAACATTAGATCCTACCTCACTCATGTCATGCAGATTACTCTTTCTGTATATCCTTCTCTCTGCATATTGCAGAGTGGATTTCAGGCCTCCTACCTTGCCCAGCTCACAACACCCATATACTTCCTGTTTTTCTCACATTGGCTTATCCTCAAGCCACTCCCTTCCTCACAAATTAAAAAAATCCTATTGGACCCTTGGTGGCGGCTTTGTTCTGTTCAGGCATCAACTCAGCTGGAATCCAGACACCCTTACCTCCCCACAATTTTTGATAAATTATTATGACTTTCTTTGCACTGAGAGGGGTAAACTGGAATTAACTCGATAGAATTCCAACAACTTTTCAATGGGATTACAAATGTAAACTTCCTGGATCACAAGCAGGACCAGAAAGTGCTCTGTATATTTGAAACTCATTGAGGCTAAAATAGAAGAACTTCTGCACAGAGCCCATCCCTGGGCAGGGAAACACTGCCCTGCCACCTTGCTTCAAACACTACACATCAGCAACTCTGCTGGACGATTTGCATTGCTTAAATCCAATTGAAGGCCTAAGGAAAAGTCCCAGCCAGCTCTGCACCCATCAGTATATGAAAATATGGCCAGGATCAGCCGACATGCAGATGACTGCTCCTCCTTGAAGCGGAGTCACCAAGTCGTCCTCACAAAACTGCAAGCACAATTATGCTTCATCGGTAATTCATGCCAAATAATTACAGAGAAAATAATCAATATGATTTACTAAACCATTTTAATACCTTACCTAAAAACATGCTTGAATCCATTCCCATACATTACTTTTCTCCTATTGGACAAAATTATGCTATACTTTTGGAAGTTCATTGATTCCCGTTTAATCATTTTATGTAACTTTCAGTAGAGAACTGATATCATGTATGGAATAAATCTGTAGAGAACACATTTTTAATATTAAAAGCAGAATCCCTAATGCTCAAATTCAACAGGATGTTAATTTCCTACCACTTTGTTTGTAACTCTCTATTGTCTGTTCTGTTCTTTTGCTTTTTCGTAAAAGGTTGTCTGTTAATGTTTTCCTCCTTTTATTTCTAAAATAAAAAAATAACCTCTGTAAACTTAGAAATTCCTTTGAACAGATCGCTTTGATCACTGTGGTCTTCCTGATAGAATAAAATGTTGTCATTAATACTTTCCATCAAATATAATAGGGAAGATGCAGATAAATGCAAGGAACTAGGAACTGAGAGCATACACGTTTATCTCCAAAATGCAAGGGAGGGGCTGGGGATTTAGCTCAGCGGCAAAGCGCCTTCCTGGCAAGTGCAAGGTCGCGAGTTCGGTTCCTGGTACTGGAGAAAAAAAAAAAAAAAAAATCAAAATGCAAGGGAGCCACTGATAGGTGTTATATGGAAACTGTTCATTCCAAAGGAAGGATACACAGATACCCTTGAGGACACTGCAAATACCTGTACACAAGCCACCTATCCACACGATTGTAAGAGTGAGGGATCAACACTAGCTTAAGGTGTCTGAGAAGCAGCCCATTAGGGATTCTTCTTGATGAAAGCACCCCGAACACATCCTCCAAATGCTACACATACTCCCATATTTCAGATCCCTTAGTTTGAGCATGGGAGACCACCTGTTTTCATATTACACTGAAAGGAGCATGTTTTCAATCTATCTGGTTCAAGAGAACACAAGTAAAGAAAAATGAAGAAATACAAAGCAATAACTATTAAAAGCTAAAGGGAAATAGAATTAGGTCTGGGCAACTCACAGAGGAGGCACCAAGGAGTTGTTTCTTTAAGTCTGATTTTAAGGTGATTTTATATGCATAAGGTAGAATATATGTTCCTACATTTATTAAACAGAAACTGGAAATGCCTGTAAATGAATTAATATCAATTTTCTGAGAAGAAACAAAAATATTTGGCATATTCAAAATTATTTGATTAGAATTTTCACTATTTTACTGGTAAAATAACAAAAAGATGTGCCAATAAAATGATAACAAGATAAAACCACCAAAACTATGCAGAAGCCATGGGTGGTTGTGTGAAGAAAAAATAAGGAATGATTACACAAGAATATTTCACAGAATTGCAGCTATATTGAAACACAGTGCACCACTACTCTGCAAAATAGAAAAACATATTTGACTCATTTGTGTAAAAATGAATGTGCGGGGCTGGGGATTTAGCTCCGCAGCAAAGTGCCTGCCTGGCAAGCACAGGGTCGTGTGTTCGGTTCCTGGTACCGGAGAAAAACCAAAAAAAAAAAAAAAAAAAAAAAAAAGAATGTGCTTAAGGCTGTAATATTACATGAAGTAAATTAGGCACATTAGTATAATATCAACCAGTTTGTGTTACATGAGCCTCACACAACAATGTATGATTAGGAGGTTTGGGTGCGCTATGCACTGTTGGTATGTGTGAAACAGTGGAGGAAAACCTTGCAATTTTATGAAAGGTATATGCAAAATTCATAAACCTAATACATGAAAAGTACTAAATAAATTCTATTACAGAATATAGAAACAGTAATTTCTTTTTAAAAAAAATGGCTTGACTTTATCCATTAAAAACAGGGAAAGTTCATTGTAAGAAGTATAAATGGGGCCAGGGATGTAACTCTGGGATTACACCTGCCTGGCAAGCTCAGGGTCCTGAGTTCGATTACCAGTACCAAAATAAAGACATTAATATTCTATGTGATATCGCATTGTATAAATTTGGAAAGCAACAATATCTAGGCTAATTTTCTCTTGTTGCTGAGACAAAATACCTGACACCCAAAATTAAGGAAGTTAAGGTTTATTTAGCCTATGGTTTGTGGGATCTCAGTCCGTACTCGGCTGGCTCCAAAGCAAATCGTCACATAGTAGAGGGCAACAGTTCATGGCAGTAGAAAACAGCAAATCAACAATACCAAAATGGAGCAACAGTGGCAAGCAGCCTCTTTCCCTCACTTACATTGCATGCAAAGTACCCCCAGGGGCAGGTAGCACTCACATCCATAATTCCATCATTGGACCATGAATCAGTCATACACTCTAGAAGCCTGCTCCATGACTGCATGAACCATTGGGGGGACACTCAGACACAAGCCATAACATTCCACCCTTGGGCCCCCAAAGACTCATGTGCATCCCTTTAGGCAAAAGGAATTTTAGTCCACCTCCAAGCATTGCCCAAATCTTACCAGCTTCAGCATAGCTGAAGAGTCCAAGTCCCAAGTCTCCAAGATGTAAGGTAAACTGTTAGTTATGAAAAGTTAAACACTTTCAATTTTCAATGGCACAAAATAAACATTACCATTCCCAAAAATACAAACAGGGTGATACAAAGCTTTGACACCAAAGGAAGTCCAAAATCCAGCAGTGCAAACATGAAGTCCTGAGTTCCATAGCCAGGATCAGAAGCAATTTGTGGCACATTGTGAGCTTCAAAGGCCTTGTGTACATCCACCCCTATGGCACTTCTAGTAGTTACAGCTCCCATAGCTTCTCCCTTAGGCCCGAATTTCTCCCTCCTTGCAGTTTTCCTCCAATAATACACTTTCCTGGCTTTTTCCAAACTTCTGGGGTCTCCACTGAACCTCTGGCTTCTCAGCAATACCTTCAAACACTACCCTCTCAGGGACACACTGCCTGGCCTCTCAGACCTTCTGAAATCTAGGTGGAAGCCTCTTTAACCTCAGAGCTCTTGTAATCTGTATGTGCCTAAAACCAGTGCCATGTGCACAATGCCAAGATCTGCTGTCACCTGGAGCAGTAGCCAGGTTTTCTTCTCTCTTGGCCACAGGGGTCGAGTGCCTGGATTGCTGAACACTCTGAACCTGATTCTGAGGAAGAAATTCTTTATGCCACCACCATTCTGGCACAAGGCTTGGCTGCCCCCATTCTGGAATATGGCACTCTGCGGCTTTCTCCTCAGAGCAAAGCCTTTCACCTTTGCAGTTTTGAGGCTGCAAAGGGTGGAGACTTGCTCCTTCTTGTGACACCCTCAGGCCATCTTTTATATTCTCCTGTTCCTTCTCAGCAATGGAGATCTCCTCAGCTCAGTCTAGGCAGTCCATACTTTTACTCCAGCTTTTTCTCTCGCCCAACTCACAAAGATATAAATCATCCTGCTGGCTTCTTTGCTCTTGATTCTCAATATAAGTCTGGCTAAAATCCCCCAGCAATGGCCATGCCTCCACCTCAACATTCAACTGGCTCAACTGAAATTTCTTTTGTCAGATTAATCTGTGCACCACCCTTAATCTCAGTCTTAGACAAAGTATCTGGACACAAGCAAAATGCAGACAAGCTTTCTGCCAACCCACAGCACACATCATCTGGAGTCCAACAAGCAATGCAGTCCTGCTTTGCAGCAGAACCCAATCTCAACTGGCAGGATTTCTATCAGCCTTCTGGTCACCTGAGCTCTGACCAGAATCCTCCAGACAGAACACCTGAAGGCATTCCAATCCTATTCTTTGAGGCGGCATCTCGGAACTTTTCCAAACAATTCCCACAAGCCATATCCAAAGGCTCTTGAATCATAGGGTCAGGTGTAGTCACAGCAAAGACCCCACTACTCTAATACCAAATTCTTATTGGTTACTTTTCTCTCATTGCTCAGACAAAATACCTGAAGCACAAAATTAAGGAAGATAAAGTTTATTAAACCTACAGTTTGTGGACGTTTCAGTCCATAATCAGCTGGCTCCAAGGCAGACTGGCACATAGCAGTGGAAAACAGCAAAAGCAACAAGAGCAAAATGGAGCAGCAGTGGCAAGCAGCCTCTTTCCCTGCCTTACATGTATGCAAATTACCCTCCCCAGGACAGCTGTAGGGCTCACATCCATGATTCCAACACTGGACCATGAATCAATCACACACTCTAGAAGCCCGCTCCATGACTGCATGAGGCTTTGGGGGGACCCCCAGACACAAACCATAACAAACAACTTTCAAAAAATATTCCTTCCAAAATATTTTGTAATTAATGTATTAATTTTAGAAAGGACATTAACAACTCATAGAATTAATTGTTACACAAAGCTAAGAATAACATTACAACTTATATGACAGTATACATAAAAGACATTACTTCAAGGAAAATGATAAATAATGGAAAATTCTAATTTCAATTAAAACCAGATGTAGATCATTAGGTCCAATAGAACTTTCTATGATGAAGGACATGCTACATGTCCTGTTGATTACACCCCATCAGGTGTAAGTAGGTAAGACCATATATAAGAATAGTAGTATAGAGAATTTAGCAGAAAAAAATTTACTGGAAAAATATACCTGCATAATAAAGTGTAGCAGAAATTTTTGTGTAATTGCCAAAATATATTTTAATCTTGAAGTAAGAAACTGCGTGGTATAGATTCAAAAGAGACTTAAAAACAGTTTAAAAGAAGGAATTGGAAATGGAAAGGGGACTGCTGATGAAATAAATTTCAAAGAACAGGATATAAAACTCTCACAGGACAGTGTCTAGAAAGTGACAGGACTCACTTTTTAAAAAGGAACACTTGGGGCTGGGGATTTTGCTCAGCGGCAAAAGCGCCTGCCTGGCAAGCGCAAGGTCGTGAGTTCGGTTCCTGGTACTGGAGAAAAACCAAACCAAAAATAAATAAATAAATAAAGAAAAAGGAACACTCACATTTAATTTTTGGGGACAATTTCCCCCAAATCAACTGTGCACAAAGTAGAGATTTCTAGATTCTGCAGCAGCTTCGCAGGCAAGAACTCACTTATGCTTCTTGCAAATTCGTGAGCACTTCACTTCCTGAGTCGCTGGGAAAATGCACGCTCTCCTTCCCTTCCCTTTATGTAAAGGAAACCACTAAATACACCTCATCAGGGCCACATGGCAGATGATGCACCCTGATTGCACACACCTGATTCTAGTCGTGGCCTGATGTTTTGAGCATACATTTTTCACTTTGATTTTATTCTCCAAACAATAATAAAGATGCACACATCACACAAAATGGAGAGCAAAGAAGAAAAACCATGTTAAATTTAAAACCCAAAATTTGTTCAGCCCACAACGTAAGTACAAAAATTCTTAAGTGCTTTCTATATTTTGGGAAACATTTAAATTTTTCAACATATAGTCAGAAAGAACGCACATTGTATATAAGTGCACAGTTAAATGCAATTTGAAGAGGACAGAGATTCAGAGCCCTTGAGCTCTGTCTCACAGAACACACTTATACAGCACCGGTCAGGGTAATTCAACTGTGATTAGATGCAGAAGGCCCTCCTCATAAGGAGCTAGTGATTTCAGCTTTATCGAATTGATGTTTGAAGTTTTGATCTCCTTGCGTTTTACACCCCTGTTCTACAATACTGAAGTACACTTTTTGGTTTAATTATGTCTTATGGTACAGTTCAGATATATGTTATGATCACATTCTGAAGAGGGAACTTGTACCTGTGTGTGACACATCTTGATTCCTCTTTTATGCCATTCCCCTCCCCTCCCTTCAACCCCTCTTCCCCTACTTTTTTACAAAGGTTCATTTCCATGTTCTCCTTTTCTCGTTTTGCTTTTCCTTTCCGCCTTCCTACAGTTTCTTTTTGTTTTTCAAAATAAAGAGATATATCTGGAGCATACAGAGAAGTGAACACAATGATTCTTTGTTGCTGTTGTAGCGGGACCTCTCGGGGCTTGATTGTGTTATGGGAGATCTCAGATTCTGAATTCAAATTCATTGGTAGTGCCTCAGCAGCATACTATTTTTATAAAGTTTTGAACGGTTTTGAATGGAAAGACAGCATCTCTGAAATTTTAAGCGACAAAGTAGATTATAAATAACTTCTCGTTCCACGTCTTCCTAATGTCTTTTCATTTCCCTCTTTAAAAATCATTGCCAATGCGTTGCTTTAACAAGATCATGAATTAAGTTGCAATGTTTTGCTAATGCTTTATTCTTTGGTGCACTGCCCTCACCACAGTGCGAACACCATTAGAGTGAACAGCATGACGAATGAGACAATTATTTCCAAACTACTCTGGGAGCTGAAAGTAACAGAAAAATACTTTACATGCTCTTTGTGTGGATAAATATATAAAAAAAACACATGCAAAGCAGTGTATATAGATGTTATCTGTACTCTCTCCTGGCTCCTGGGTCCTGGCTCCAGGCTTACGAGAAAGGAAGATCAAATCTACAGAGACACAGTGAAAGCAGTTGAGGTCAGGGAGCTGTGCACCAGTGGAATGGAGCAGTGGATCGTGCGTCCTACAACACTTGGTTAACAACTCCATACCTAGTGTCCTCCAAATTCTCTGGAGATAGTGCAACATCAGAGGCCATTCTATGGAGGCACCGACTGAAGCTAGCACTCAGAAGACCGCCAGGTGGGCTTCATTTCTGGGTTTCCCATGTTCAGATCCCACAGAGGCTAGGTGAATAACAAGCTAAGTATACAACCATGGTCCAGGAGTGATGCTTGAGCCAGCCAGAGACACTAAGCATGATAAGCTGAATGTTTCAGGCCCTAACCTCATGTGCTAAGGCCTGCTTCAGCCTCAATTTCTGTGGATTTGAAAATCTCAGAACAAGCCTCCCACTGGAATCCTCATTGTGGCCAGCAGATGATCATGCAGCACCGATTTGGCCTCTGAATAGGTGTTTTGTCTAACAGTGGTAATAGAGGCATAGTTGGATTGGACACTGCCACTGAAATAGAGACACCAGAGCAGCACAGCAGGCTTGAAGTCACAGAGAAAGTTCATTTTTCCCTTTCCTTGTAAGTTCTTTATCTTTATGTTTGTTGTTTCTTAATTCTATTCCATTTTCTGCATGTGAACATGGTATTAAAAGATTTTTTAAGTTCTTTTGTCTGTTTTATCTCTTTCTTTCTCTCTTGACTTCTTCACCGGTGTTCTGAGGGTTGGTTAATCATTGTTTGACCTCCTGCCATGCTCCTACTTCATTTTTCTTTCTTCTTTCTCTATTTTTCCTCTTCTCCCTTGTAAATTTCCCCCCCTTATTCAATTTTCTCTTATTTTCTGTCAGTATTAATTGCATCATTTCCTCGCTTGTTCTGAAATCTCTCTTTCCAGAGTTTTGTCTTAACTCTATCCAATTCTATAGACATCCTTCCATTCTTCAATAAATTCCTTTACACCACATCTCCTCCTCCTTCTCATCATAGAGTTTAAGTGTTCAGAGTTGTCCTTTTCCATCCACAATTTCCAAACCCTAAATTTTAAGAGAATCCTGAAAAAGCTTTAACTTTTTATACTAAGTGTAAATTTTGTGATGTATTATTTTATGCCTTTAGCAGAGACATAGTTGTTACATATAGTTTTTATTATCTTTAACTTTTTATACTAACTGTAAATTTTGTGATGAATTATTTTACACCATTAGCAGAGACATAGTTGTTGCATGTAGTTTTTATTACCTGTAAAACAATGATTTAGTTGATATTTCACCATACATTTCATTTTCCCTTGTAGGACTAACCGTGCTGTAAATCTACAC